GTGTTAGTTGCTGGAATAAATGTTTATGCCAGCGGGGTTAAATTCAGTTTCTGAAAAGAACAAAAAAACGATTTTGACTTACAAGAGAACTTCTCCAATTGTCGTTCACCGAAAAAATATTTAACACGTATTTGTTTTTATCGGTCATCGTTCATGTTGAAGGAGTGAAAATGGCTCTCAAATTTGGGGAGTTGAAACGTGGATATTGTGTGTTTCTTAATGGCGAATGCACCTACATAATTAGTTTTTAGCAAAATCCATTTGTTTAGGTAATATATTAAAAATTCGTATTTTTTATTTATGAAAAATTAACAAAAAGGTACGAATTTTTAATATATATCGAGTTAGTCTTGAGAAACAGAACACCGAAATATTTCCGTTGGGATTGAAAATGAGAGAATATGTTCGAAACAAAAATTGTATTGTTCAAGGGAAATCCTAAGAGGAATCCTGAGAAAAATGATTCAGTCATAAACAGTTAAATGTTTATTTCTATTTAGGATGCTGTCATAAAAATAAAATTCTAATAGTGTATCATTGATTAGGTGACAGCAAACATTGTCACGAAATTGAGTTTGAAAATGAGTTTGTCGTTGATTGTTGAACTTGTCTCAATAACCGCTTTCCTATAATATAAAAAATATTGGCAAATATTCGCTAAAAGGAAGCCACCTCCGATTTCGATGATTTTTTAATACGTTGTTAAGGTTATCACTCTGAGTAGTGTTGTGATGGTTTTAGTCAGCAGCCGCAGTTTATTAGAAAGTTATGAAAACAATTTCGTCATTACGCGAAAACTATTGCAAATTTTAAAAATCTATTAAAATTATCGCATTGCTTTTAAAAAAAGTCTTCTTCTGTTTGTCTCACAAGTCTCTAGCATTTACGAGAACGACAGTAGAAACTAACAGCGTGAACACCCTGCATATTTTTACCGATGTACGATAGGAACTTTGGCGAACAAATGTAATTTAAATCATGTAATGCTTTCTGTACGAACATAACAGGTGTCCTAATACTTATGAACGCCAGTGTATGTCTTATACGATCCATACCTGCTGGGCCAATGACCGCTGCGCGTGAATGTTATACCTATGATACCAATTCTGGCCATTCCAGGATTAATTAGCAATACCTAACGTAACGTAATTGCTTAAAAAGTTGTAAAAGTTCATAACTTTCACGACCATACGTAATTCAACGCTGTATTTTGTACAGGATCTAAGTGAATTACGAATGTACTAATTTTGATTATAATGCAAAAAATCAAAATTCCAATTTATCCGTTTTCTCCGTATTTTAAAGAAAATACTACATCCTACGTAAATTTCATCAAAATCAGTGAGTGACACTTGGGGATGTTCCTTTAGTGTTTTACCAGTTAACTCACGAAATACTTGGAACTATTTGTTTGTATCTTATGAAAAATAAGAATATTTAATTGTAGTTAATTGCAGTTTTTCTTTAAAACTTTGTGCTCCAATTAACGAATAAGATTCCATTGTAGACGCTACAAATCTTGTTCCAATTAGCCAGTAACACTGGGACGCGTTTTAACGAACGATGATCACGATCAATTTGCATCGAAGCTGCAGAGAAATGGTATGTAAATGCAACAGCTTTAACCGTGACCATCTCAATTAGCCCAGTTAATAGAATCTAATGGTCGCGAGGATCGGTTCGATGAAATTCCGTTTAATAGAAAACCGGACATAGGGCGAGATATTAAGCGCTTCTGATTCGACATATGGTTCCAGTGCTTTGCATGAAATCATTAGAATAACTACGCTGATTGAATCTTCGGTATTCCGATAAACCATTATTCTTTTCATTCGATTTGATCGTATCGTACACTGATACTCATGTGTGCACTATTTTTCGTGAAAGTAGCAAATGAAGGAAACGTAGAATATTATTATTTAGGTTAAACACATTTATCAGCATAGTGGTATATTGTAGGAATCGACGACGGAAAAATATTGAGGGACCCAACGGGAATCGAACCCGGGACCTTCGGCTTAGCAAGCCGAGGCTTTGCGCGCTACGCCAACCACTCCCTCTCTATTGTCCCTTCGAGGTTTCCTATTTGGACATGGAGGCTCCGATACTACACTCGGCCATCCTGAACTGACATTCGCTCTCAAATGTCCTCAGCGCAACACAACTCAACACTTTCGGGCACACAGTGGCACACAGCCGAAACAACGCATTTTTGAGAGACGTGCACAACTCTCAACATATTTTCATCGCACACCTCCTGGCTTCGTGTAGCCGTAGATGCCTCCATCCCGGACGAGCTCCCATTTGTAGGAACCGACGACGGAAAAATATTGAGGGACCCAAAACGGGAATCGAACCCGGGACCTTCGGCTTAGCAAGCCGAGGCTTTGCGCGCTACGCCAACCACTCCCTCTCTATTTTTGGGTATGGATGCCCCGATACTACAATATTTTTCGTATCTTTCTTTCGTGAATTTTTGTGTTCAGAAATTCTTGCGGAGGTTTCTGCAATTTTTAATTATTCAGAGGCGTTCCCTGATTATTTTCCTTCTTTTGGGAGAATTTTTGTGGTCAGGAGTTCTCTTTGTGAAATTTCGTGGGATTCAAAATTATTTAGAAGCGTGTCACAATTAAAAAAAATTTTGTTTGTAATCAGGAGTTCTCTTTATGGAGTTTCATTTTGGATTTTAAATTATTCAGAGGCGCATCTTAATTACTTCCTTTTGTTTATTGGGAATTTCTATGGTCAGGAGGTCTCTTTGTTTCATTTAGTGGAATTCAAAATTATTTACAGGCGCGTCATAATTAAAAAAAATTTCTTTTACAGTCAGGTGTTCTCTTCGTGGAGTTTCATTTTAGATTTACAATTATCC